CGACACATGCAATGTGAAGGACCACTATGATTTTTTCTTTGATATACCAAACCAACTATACGAATTATTGACAAATCTTTTGAATTGGAAGATCAAGAAACTAAATCAGGTAAGCTTGAGATTTCTTAATTGGCCTTACGTTTAAGTTTAAATGTATGTTCAATTTCTAAAATGAGTTCAGTGAAATTCAAAAATAGCCAGATTTACAAGTGGTAATTAAAAAATAGTCATAATTTCAAAAGTGACTACAACAATTATGGTCTAACGTCACACTAGTTTTAGACAACGCCTGAAAAGTGTGCCCAAAAATATATTTGGATACACTTTTAAGGGGTGGCCTTTGTATGGAGCTTTTGGCTACGGAAAATTTGGCTACGCTTTAAAAATGTGCTCTTTTAATTTATTAGGCCACACTTATTAAACGTTGCTAAATTATAAAATAATTGGCAACATTTACTTGAGTATGTGGCACTCTTTTTAAGCGTGCTCTTATTATAATTGGAAAAGCAACACTTTATAAATGTGCTCTAAAAGTCCAACAAATTATTTGGCTAAAATATAATATTCCCTCCAAAAAATATAATGTTCCCTCCGATATACTCTAGGTAAAATATTATTTTTTCAATTTCAAAAAGGACAAAAAGATCTCTCTCCATCGCTAACATCTCTGTGGATACATTAGTTAGGGTTTCTGGCTTCAATTGTGGATACTGAATCTTCAGGATTAGGTACTGTTAATTTTTGCACCGGAAAGATTAGGTACTCTTAATTTCTGAACCTTCTCACCTTACTTTGGGTAGTGTTTTTGTTTTCAAAGTATCGTCTCAAAGGAAGAATTCCGTTTCCCCTTTCTCTTAGGTACTGTTTTGCACCTTCTCGCCCTCCTCGTTCCAGATTGAAGAAATTTATAAAGCTAGAGAAACGGGAATTCTTCCAATCTCAGGTTGGTGCTGTTCTATTTCAATATTTTACCATCTTATGGTCTCTGATTGCTGTAGTTTCATATCTAATTTGATACTTATTCCAGAAAAGAATGAACTATAAATTAATTATTCCTCTTCTAGTCTCCAAGATTAGTGATTTATTTTAAAATTCTAGCAGATTTGTGAGCCTAATTCTACAAATCGGCTTTGTTATCTTTTGATTGTCATTTTCTTGTTGATTAATCTGACGTACAGTACGTCTTAGGCTGATTTGTTCTTTTACCATGTCAGTCGCGCCTCAGAATACCAGAAGTGTCTGATACAACATTCATTCTTTTGAATATTTGAGATTTCTTAGTGATATATTGAGGGGGGGGGGGGGGGGGAGGAGCGGAGGAAGGTGTAGGGGTTGTAATAATAAGTTTATGAAATCTTTTTGTTCTGGTATTACAAAATATTGCAAACTCTGTTGCAGATTCATAAACGCTACTCAGCAGTTGAGTTTGTTAGTATAATATGACTGATGTGCTGCACTTCTAGTTTCCATGTCAGTGCCCGATCATTTGTCGACCAATTTAGAAACAACTGGCTTCTTAGTAGATTCAACTTTTGTAATAAAGTAGAATCTGTAAACATCAGGGGAAACCATAGAATTAGAAAAACAATAAGTTTAAAAACAAACTTACGAAAATATTTTAGACAATAATGACTACCAACATTTCAAGTTTATGGGCTCTCTTTCTTGGTTATGGGACTATTGTTGTAGGTGACACTGTTGTTGTTACAAGAAAATTAGTGCCGACAAGGTGGTAATGTCTATTGGGAATATATTGTTCCTGCAACTTCTCAGCAGTCCTATAAATGGCCTGAAACTGGATTCATTTCACAAAATGCATTGATGAGTTCTGTAGTTTTGCGCAGGTACTAACCCTGAAATATCAACTGTAAATTAAATGTCATCTAAACAATGTACGATAGAGAAGCTCTTGTTTTGAATAGCACAAAAGTCTTGTAGAGTAGCACATTGCTTGTGCCCTTGATCTGCTAACTTCTTTTTCATTTTTTTCCTAAACAGAAGAGAAATTAAAATGTGTTAAGTGCGACATAGGTTAGCAGAGAATTTATATCTTCCTTTATTGTGATAAGTCAGATGATTTATCATCAATAATTAAGTGGTCCCCGAGGTTATATTTGTATATTTTGCCTTTACATTCCAGAACTGTTCATCATTATTGTTCAATCCAGGGTATGGTATGACTTGAGATAACTGTTACTGGAACAGTAAAGCATGGTTCCAATACTGAGAAAGTTCAGTATCCTTCTAGCTTCAAATATACTAAGTTAAACTAGTGAATATCATAGGTTCTTTCTTACCTCGCAACTGCATGAGTGAGCTCTGAAATGTCAATGTTAATTCATCACAGAAGTTTCTTAGCTTGTAACGTGTTCAATAGATTGTTCATTGGACCGGTCATGTCTTTAATAGATTGAACTGGCTCTTTCATTCAATTGATGGTTAGCTTTTAGTTTCAAATTCAGTTTTCCCTTGATTTATTATTGCTATTATCCTGCAGTGATGCTTATCTCCAAAGTATTAAAACAGCCTTAGATTTTCCAAATATGCAGTATTGTTTAACTGATAATAACCATTATATATTGCTGGCATGCATCAAATGTTGCAAATGATTCCTTCAAACATAATAAGAATATGATCCTCAGTGTTGTGAAAAGCGTTCGCTTCCTCGCTTAAAGCGAGAAGCGAAGCGAGGCGACCCTATGACCGCTTTTGCTATATGAAGCGACTCAGGTAGGCAAAAGCGTGCGCTTCGCACTGAAAAGCAAGAAACGACGAAGAGAAGCGAGGCGTCCGAAGCGAGCGCTTCTCTGTTTTAAACACCTGCCAATCTATTTAATTAAAAAAGAAAGGTGTTCTTTTATTAAAGAACACAACCAGTAGCAACAAAGAGAAAGAGGCGACCAGAGTTCCAAGTCTTGTACACTTTCAACTTAACATACTACCAGTAGCAACAGGTATGTGATTTCTATTTCTATTTCTACTTCTTCTTCTTTCACAGTTTCAGCGTCCAAATAGCAGCGAAATGCTGGCGAATTTTTTTCCCTTCGATTCTTCTTTCTCAGTCTTCTCCTCTTCATTGAAATGCTGTCCAGTTCTTCTTTCACTGTTTTTACGCTGCCCAGTTTTAACAGAATGGTATACTTCCCTTCTTAACAGAATTTATTTTAATATTTTTTTTTAAAATTCCGCTTCACTTAAAGAAAGCGAGAGCTTCGCTTCTCGCTTCTCACTTTAAGCGAAATGGGGGTTGTCGCTTTTCCTCGCTTCACGCTCTTCACAACACTTATGATCCTTTAAGTTTACAACAAGGGATCAATCTGGTAATTCTGATGAGTATTGGTGAATTTGCAGCCAACATATATGAAAAGAAGTTTTAGCTGTACCGTTTTGATCAAAGTATCAATTTAACAACCTTGAGTGAACTACACTAATTTGGTATTGGATTGTCAACCAAAGTTTTCACTTTTAGTTGACTTGGTTAGATATAATTCCGCATCAAGAAAATCCGGGATATCAATGTGGACCAAAAACAATGACATCATGAAAAGAGAAACAAAATGTGATCAAATTATTAGATACTACACAAATAGCATAACAGATTCTTTGATCTGACATTTTGAACCAAAAATGTAAAACCAGTTGTGAAGCTTATTCTTTGCTAATTTTTAGTGAAAAATTCAAATACAAAAGGGAGACACAAATAAACACCAAACTAAAGAATGACATCAAACATTCATCGTTTTTGGCAAGCTAAGATTTTATATGTTCTTCAATTTAGGTATGTGTAGATACCTTTTTTTTTTGTTGCAAATTGACATGGTCAACAATATATCTTTTTTATTGCTTTAATTTCCTTCGATTATGTGCGACTCGATTGATTTTAAGCTTTCCATGTCAACTGCTATGGTGGCTATATTCAAGCTTAGAACCTGTTCCATTTCGATATTATGTAATATCTTGTTATTTTGTGATTTTTTTTGTAAAACATATGTATCTCTCACTGGAAAGCTTAAGATTTTATTGTGAGAAGGTTAATATTAGCTCATATGAATAAAAAGTATATTGGATAAGAGTTAGCGTTGTGTTTGAGTAATTTGGTAAAACTTACATTCTGAATTCTAACTTAGAGTATGCATGATCTAGGATACATATGTGGGTTGTGTTAGCGTTGTGTTTTCCACAACCAACCCAATGGAAACCAGGCTTTTGATGGGTGGGTTTGTTTGTTCCTGAATAATATCCTTATTTCTGGTAGTTGATATATTTTCCTTCCTTAATCCTAGCAATTTGGTTGGTAGTTATTAGATGCAGAATGGTTGATATTCTTAGGATGCAGTGATTGCCCCCTGGCAATTTGATTGTGGAAATGAACTAAAATTTTCATGTAAAATGATTATTTTTTGAGTACAAGAGTTCATAGATCTTAGTTATTTATGGTTGCAAATTGTTCTGTCAAAATGTAATGTGGTAAATTTTTCTATCAAAGTTACCTTTTAGTAATTTTAAAATATGACTAGTTCTGGAGTTTCTTTTTTTGAGTTGAAGAAATCAGAAATAGCTAGTTAGATTTTTATATCTTAACTTCTTTTAATTATATAATATTTGTACGAACAAAATACCTTTTAGGTGTCACTATACTTGCCAAAGTGCACATGAAACTTTTTGGTGCGCAGAACTATTATATTATCTTCATGAAAAACTTGGTTTAGAATTTTATTACTTTCTGTCTTTGTTTTGTGGATCCTAATTTTACCTTTTTTTATCCAAGAAGATAAGTCACGCTCGGGAAGATTTGTGGTGGACGTAAAGTTGTATTTGGCTTAGCTTAAGTGTCCTGACTAGGTAAGGAAGTCCTATCATTTTACAACACATGATTTTACAGATTTATTCTTGACATTTAGGATTTAGTTTTACCATATAATTAATGCTTAAATTATTATATATTTGAAGATCTAATAAATTTTAGTTTTATGAATTCAAATGTTCCATCCAATGAATGGATGGATTTACCAAGGTATAGCAAAGAGTATATCGAGGGTGTTCAATCTTTCTTAGATTTTGCTTACTATTATGGAGATCCTCAAGGCGAAGAAATTCAATGCCCATGTGCAAAGTGTTGTAATATTTGTTGGACTCGAAGGAATGTAGTGTATGACCATCTAATATGTTATGGGTTTGTTCAAGGTTATACAAGATGGATTAATCATGGGGAATGGGAAATTTCGATGAATGCTAATTGTGACATGGATGATAACATTTACTCGTACGATGATATTGATGGGTTGTTGAATGATCAATTTAGAAATGTTGCACATGCTGGAGGAGTATATGAAGGCCCAAATGAAGATGACAATAAATTCTATAACTTAGTTGACGAGGCAAGCCAAGAACTATATCCTGGTTGTAAAGGATTCTCTAGATTATCTTTTACAATCTGTCTGTATTTATTGAAGTGTCTACATGGATGGAGCAATGCGTCTTTCACTTCTCTTTTAGAGCTATTAAAAGAGGCGATGCCTGACTTGAACATTCCTATATCCTACAATAAAGCCAAATCTATGGGAAAGGATCTCGATCTTGATTATGAAAAAATTGATGCATGTCCCAATGATTGCATGCTATTTAGGAATGACCATAAGGATGATGAATATTGTCATATTTGTGGATCATCTCGATATATTAAATATCCTGAAGTAGATAGCGATGAAGTAGATAGCGATCTTGAGGCTTCCAAAAAAGGTTATCCTGTTCCAGCAAAAATTTTGAGACACTTTCCATTAATTTTTAGACTTAAAAGGCTATTTATGTGCTCAAAGACAGCAGATACATTGAGGTGGCATGACGAGGAGCGTTCTAAAGATGGAAAGTTAAGGCATCCTGCTGATGGGCAAGCATGGAAAGACTTTGATAGCTTGCATTCAGAATTTGCAAGGGATTCTCGCAATTTGAGACTTGGCTTAGCAAGTGATGGGTTCAATCCATTTCGGACCATGAGCATATCTCATAGCACATGGCCAGTTATTTTAATGGTGTATAATTTGCCTCCTTGGATGTGCATGAAGCCAGAGTACTGTATGCTTTCTTTGCTTATACCTGGGCCACGATCACCTGGAAATGACATTGACGTTTATTTACAACCATTAATAGAAGAGTTAAATGTTTTGTGGGAGTCCGGGGTAGAAACATATGATGCTTCAAGAGATCAAACCTTTCAAATGCGAGCAGCTCTTTTATGGACAATCAGTGACTTTCCTGCATATGCTATGTTATCTGGTTGGAGTACAAAGGGAAAGTTGGCTTGCCCTTGTTGTAATTATGGCACTAATTCTCGTTATCTTAAACATAGTCGAAAAATGTGTTATATGGATCATCGTGTTTTTCTGCCTATGGATCATCCTTGGAGATCTAATAAAAGGTCTTTCAATGGAAAAATAGAATTTAGGCCTCCTCCACCTTTGTTAAAGGGAACTGATGTGCTTAATAGCTTACAGAATTTTAACAATGTGTTTGGGAAGAAGCGAAAGAGAACAAATGATGGCCCTTGGAAAAAAAGGTCAATTTTTTTTGAATTACCTTATTGGCAGCACAACTCATTACGTCATAACCTTGACGTAATGCATATAGAGAAAAATATAGTGGATAATGTAATTGGAACTCTTTTGGACATTTCTGGCAAGACAAAGGATCATGCAAATGCTCGTTATGATCTGAAAGAGATGGGCATTAGGAAGAACCTTCAACCAAAGGATACAAAGGATGGCAAGAGAGCAAACTTTGCAAAAGCATGCTTCTCAATGACCAATGGTGAGAAATCAGTTTTCTGTGGTGTTTTAAAGACAGCAAAGCTACCTGATGGTAGTGCTTCCAACATATCCAGGTGTGTGCAGCTAGATGAAAGAAAATTATCCGGTTATAAAACCCATGATGCCCACTTCATGTTACATTACTTGTTGCCAATACCAGTTAAAAGCATACTTCCTGATCATGTTGCTATCCCTTTGATTCGTCTAAGTTCTTTCTTTCGCGTTTATGGTCAAAAAGTTATCACAATGGAAGAGCTAGATTGCTTGGAAGTAGAGATTAGAGAAACAACGAATCAATTGGAAAGAATTTTTCCTCCAACTTTTTTTGATATAATGATTCATTTGCCTATTCATTTGGAAAATGAGGTAAGGTTGGGAGGTCCAGTTCAAAATCGATGGATGTATCCTCCTGAAAGGTATATGTGTACATTAAAATCATATGTTCGCAACAGAAATTATCCAGAAGGATCTATTGCTGAGGCATATTTGGTTGAAGAGTGTTTGACTTTATGCTCTAGGTACTTACATGGAGGTGTAAAGACTCGATTTAATCGACGACCCCGAAACAATGATGAATATGATTCAATTAATGCACAATCTTCTAGTTTGTTCCCTAATACAGGTTGTCCTTTAGGAGCGAAAAAGAGTGATCCAATTATTTTAGATGACATGTCACTAAATCAGGAACATATATACTTATTGAACAATTGTGATGAAGTTCAAGAATATATAAGGTAATTTAATCACTTATAGCATTTATTTATGTAGATTGTTATTAAATTACTTTATTTATCATTTTACTAACAAATAAAAATACTTGTTGTGTAGAGAATATGAGGTTGATGTTAGTAATCAGAGATGAGGATCTAAATGGAGCAAGGCCAAGAAGCATAGTCAAAACTTCTCTCAATGGTTTGAAACTCGTTCTTTGAAAGAGGATGTGCCCGATCTTATAAAGCAATTATCCTTCGGACCAAATTCAATTGCTAAAAGATATTCTGGGTATCTCATTAATGGATATAGATTCCATACGAGGCAGCATGATGCAAGACGTAAAACACAAAATAGTGGTGTTACATTAGTCGCCCTAACTACAAGTTTTGCAAGCTCAAAAGATAAAAATCTTGTTGACGCAAATTTGACTTATTATGGTAGAATAGTTGATATAGTTGAGTTAGACTATTATAGCCATTTTAGGGTTGTCTTATTTAAGTGCGACTGGTATGAGGTTGAAAAAGATATTTATGGCCTTACTTATGTCTACTTCAACAAGAAATGTTATCAGAACGAGCCTTTTGTCCTAGCATCTCAAGTACACCAATGCTTCTATGTGCAAGATCCATATGATCAAGATAAATATTATGTCATGAAGACTGTCCCGAGAGACTTATTTAGCATAAGTGATGAACTTGAATCTAATGCCCCACAGTGTTATGAAAATGAGTCATCTGAATATTTGGCTGGCCCATCTATACCGGAGGATAATGGTGAAGTTGCCTTAGTAAGGAGTGATGTTCCAGCAACCATTCTTGATGTACCTCCAGAAGGATTTCTAGCACAACAACTTGAAATTTAATCGGATGAAGAGTTTGATTTTGAAGATACATCATGAGTTTTTTTTTCTAATTCAAGTAGAAAATAGCTTAGCCATTTTTTTATTAATAGCTAGAGATACATTAAAGACTGTTGCTTTAGATTTAAATTGATGTTGTCTATTTCGTCAAGTTCAATATTGAATATTTTCTTGCTGATCGATTTCTTTGATGTGCACATATATTTTCTACTCATGCATTTTCAAAGTGTCCCTTTTCGTATCACTAGAAATTACTTGAATGGTTATTCAATGTGTCCCTTCTGAGGAACCATATTGTTCATATATGGATCGAGAATTTTCTCTAGTTTTGAATAGAGAAGTGAACGTGAGTAAGTAGAAATTATGCTTCGTAATTTGTATTGTCCTATTACCTGGAGTATTGGAACAAGTTTTAACGTATAAACGTATTTGTTTTTTATTATTATCAGGTGGTGCACATAGAAGATATTGGACTAACCAATTTTAAGGAACCAAGAGATATTGAACAGGTATCATTGTTCCATTTTATGTTGATGTTTGCGATAACAACAGACTTAGTGATTTGAACCTTTGTCAAAAGGATGTTTAATAAGGTCGAATAGATACTTTCTGTTGAATGTCTGTTGGTAGAAGAGGATAAAGAGGATTCTATGATCTGGACAGCGAACAATGAATTGAAGTTCTCTGTTAAAAGCTGCTATAACCTTCTTCTGAACAATCTGAACATCTCTAGAGTCAGGAACCTTTGTATAATCTCTGTTATAAATTTCTCTAGATGCAGAGAACACCACTTCACAAAACATAACCTCGTAGCCTCTTTGAGTAAAACCAGGAAGTAAAAACAGGCCACGGGACAACTAACTGCAGAGACTAGTGTATGGTGTTGTCAGATGCAATTTAAGATCAGTGTTGGAACTGCATCCTATGTATTATTCTCTCTTTTTCTACATGTATGTATGTCTTTATAATTGGTATTCCCTATAATAAAGAAACTATTAGATGAATCCAAGATTGTTGCTTTTGGTCATCCTTCTATGACCAATAAAAGATGGAAAACAATCCTTTCCATCAGGCTTGTTATTCATGCTTAGTTTGTGGTACATTTCTGGTGTTCAATTGTATCGAATTTGCCGTCCTGTTGGAAGGTACAAACGACTGCAGTTCAATTAGTTGCAAAAACTAGAGAAACACGAAGTTCGAAACAAGTTGAATCCACTATTGTGGTCCACTAAAAACTACTAGAGTACTTCAAGATTTATTTCTGCTACTTTCATCAAAGGGATAGTGGCCAAATATAATCGATAACAGATTCTCTACATCTTTCCAATAGAGATTCACAGAAAATACAGCCATATAATCTCTGCTAAATTGGACTGTTGTACATAGAACAGTGGATGAGTCAGTTCCTAACTAATTTTATTATTCACCAGGCCTTCACATCTGTCTGAAATTTCAACTACGTACTGGACAGACAAGTCCAACAAGAAGTACTCATCTTGTAGTCTTTGGTCTCTAAAGATTGAAAGAGAAATTAAGAATGAAGAAGTACAAGAGATAGATAGACAGAGAGCTCTTGAAAGGATGCTAAATCTAATGAGTTGAATTATTAGATCTTTTCTGTTTTGATCCATTCTCTGCTAAATTGGACTGTTATTTTTCTGCACTGTTTCTCCATAGTTTCAGCTACATTTTCTGCATCTTTGAGCAGTATTTTGCATGCAAATTTGGCACTGTTTCAGCTGCTTAGGTGAAATAGTTCTACTGCTGAAAGTTTGAGAAGGATTTTTGTTAAGTTGTGAGTCTCTTTTGGGCTGAAATTCATCTAGATTTTTGCTGCAATCTTGGGTTGAATTTGGAGGGAGTTGACTGAGGAATTGACTATAGTGTTTAAATTCTTCTAAGCATATATTCTTACTAGTTGTTAGGCTAAAGTAATTTAATTTTTTTGTATGTAGGATGAATCAAGCGGCAGCTCTTAAGAGAAAAGTTCTGAATCCAAACAAAGCTCAAAGTCCAATGAAGAATATAGGTTTCGATTTCCAATACTGATCAAGTGCTGAACTAGCCAAAAAATTTCAGATTAAGAGAGAAAAGCTTGCAAGTGATCGCAATGATAAAGCTGCTAAAGAGCATGCATTACTTGGAGTTAAAAGGAAGAATTGTATGCCTGCAACATTAGAAGGACAAAGTAGACAGAGGTTAACTCAATCGGATGTGTCAGTTCAAAAGTTAGGAAGGAATAGATTACTGGTGTACGAATCAATCCAATCGTCTTCAAGGGAAGATCTGAACACTTCACATAATATTGCAAGTAAAGGACAAATTAAACAAAGGTCAATTCAATTGGAGGAGCCCATTCAAAAGCAAGGAATGAGTAAATTACCTGTGCCCACATCTATGATCCAATCATCTACAAAGGTAGATCCTAACACTTCACATATGATTAGAAGAACACAAGGTGAAGGAGAGAAACAACTTGATATTCAAGAGCTACAAAATTGCAAAAAGGTAAAGACAAACTCAGTCCTACCGTCGACGAGTGTTAATCAGTTTCTAAAAAAATATGGGATACAAGTCGGTGCTGAAAAATATCCTGATAATCACCCAGAAAATGAAGTTAGATTTATGTCCTCTCCTATTATTGATGAGCGTGAAATAGAATCGAATAATTTTGCCGCACAAGATGAAGTTGGTGACGATGAATTTATTGGAGATGAGGATATGAACATCGATGGTGCTGCAGGTGGTATGTCTTAAACCTTATAATTATTTTACATATTTTGATTTTTTCTTCTTATGTCTTTCTTGTTATATCAATCTAGGGACATCAGAGAAGAAAAGAGTTCGAGAAAAAACAACATGCAAGAATATTCATGCAAGAAGTTTTGAAGAAAGAGAGGAGGTGACATTTCATAAAGGACAAGCAGTTGGACCAACTGACAAGAGAGTATCTGATTTGACCAACCTTTTAGGAACAATTGCAAGGAATCCAAGATTTATCCCCTTGGTGAATACTAGTTGTCATGCTGTGTCAAAGGATATTAAGCGACGAATGTGGGAATATGTCAATGTAAGAATAATTAATTTTTTAATTATATATTTTTTGTATTTTTCCTACTAAGAAAAGATATGTGTGTGTGTGTGTGTTGTTTTGCACAGTCCAAGTTCTTAATTCCAGCTGAAGGAGAGAAGTGGGTAATGACTGGTCTTTGTGATGCTTGGAAGCGACACAAGAGGAATATTAAGAAGAAATATTTTGATAAAAATGCTACTATTGAACAAATGCTACAAAATCGACCCAATGAGATACCTGAAGTTCAGTTCCGTCAATTGATTGAGTATTGGGATGACGAAAATGTCCAAGTAAGATTAAACCGTGCATTTCTACATTTTCTACCTATTGTTGCAGTATATATTTTTTTCCTTTTTGATTTATTAATAATATGCTTCCTTTGTTGTTAGGCTACGTGCCAATTGAATTCTGAAAACAGGAAAAAATAAAAGTGGAGGCATCGAATGGGACCTATTAATTTTGCAAGAGTGCGTGTGGCATTGGTAATATTTAGTCGACACTTTGTAATCTTACTTTTATTTCTTTTTGTACTTTGTCGGAATAAAGTGATATCTTTTTTATATCTTCTTTGATGTAATTTGTAGCGTGCAACCAAAGAGAACAACGAGGAACCATCAAAGTCTGAAATGTTTATTACAACTCGTACAAAGAAAGGGAAGGAAGTTCATACAGATACTCAAGTTGCAATAGTAAGTCATGCTGCAAGTTAAGTCTTGTTATTGTATTTGTTGTTTGGCTTTTATGAATTGCTTGAAAAGGATTTTTAGCGTCAGAAGGACTTAATTTCCATGGTATTTTTGCAACCAGCTAATAACTGTTTCTGCTATTATCTTTTTTTTCTTTTCTTGTTCTTGCTGTTTGATGTCTGTATTGTCTCTACAAGTTTGATTTTATTGTAGTGAAGATATGGCTGTAGTTGGGTATATAATAAAAACGATGAGCTTTGTTATTATGTTCGAGTTTCTCTCTGTGTGTGTGTGTTTTAACTTGGACAAACACATTTTGCTTGAATAATGTAATATCTACATCTTGGGATATAAATTACAACCTGCATATTGATATGCATCCCTTTAGCTATGAAGCAGCTTAGGAATTATGAATAGAGAATTTTATCCTATAAAGAAATCAAAAATAATTATTTCGTGAAGTCTCGTCTAATACTAATATCTATAAAGTCTCGTCTAATACTAATATCTAATCACTAATAAATCTAACAATCTAAAATATAATAAAAAAATAAGTAATAAATTAAGGTTCTATTTCAACACGGAACAAAGGGGACAATATACAGGATGGGTAGAAAGAGGTGTGATACTTGGCATGATTCAGGGATCTCCATATCGGGCTTTTGCAACTCATCTTTGGGCCAAAAATGAAATAAGCTTTGAGAAATTTTTATAGATCCTCTACAGATTGTCGAATTCTCATATGTTAACTAACTTATTTTGGGTGAGAATTCACCCTTGAAACCTGAATTTGGTTGTGCACTTCTAAAGTATCCAGTGTTTTCAGATTTAAATTTTTATAGAGTCATAGATCGACCATACATTTTTGTGCTATAGCGTTGTCCTTTTTTACTGCCAATTGGACCTGCAATGTCCAGTTCTATACTTGACTTACCTGTGTTTGATGGAGATAGTTACTTACTATAAATCCTTCATATATGTAAAAACAACTTATTATAAGTTCAACCTACCAATTTCAAAAATTGTCCATCAAAATCTTCGCATGTAGGCAATAACTGTGCCATTTTCCAATGTTTATTTGATTCTTCTTTTTGGAAACAAGTTATCCTAAAGATGTTGAGATGATTTAATGTATTGCTGTAAAAAAATATTTTGCATTTTTAGAGTGCATTTGTTTTTGTGGGGGGTTTCTAAAGAAGTATTATAAACAAAAACTCCATATGACAGCTTCAGTACAAGTACTTTTGGTACTTAAAATGCTACTGTCATGATATGTCATAAGGAAGCTTCCAAGTTTTGCATTGTTAGACAACCACAAATGATTTATTTGCCAAAGATACAAAAACAAGTATACATTGAGATTAGATTCATGTATTTCCAATCTAGCCTAGATTCATGTCTTTGCTGTGCCTTTCTTGAAAGTAAGAGTCTAAATTTTCATAACTCAAAAGCTGCAGTGTAAACGCAAAAACCTTTTGCCAACAGCTTCAGTTTGTTTGTTTCAGATTTTACCTTTTTGTAGGTTGAGATTATAGTATGTGCAGTTTACTTGTAAGTGATGTGCAATAATATTTTTTTTGACAGTCTGAACTTCAGAATTGTCAAAGTTCCGGAGAAACAGCAGATGATGCATTTAGGGCTGTATTTGGAAAGGAGCAGCCTGGTCGGGTTAGATGCTATGGTAGATCGGTGACGACAAGCTCTCTGAAAAAAGATGAAGAAATCACCAAGCTTAAACAAAAACATGCCAATGAAATAACTTCTCTGAAGGAAGAAATGAAGGAAATGATGAGAGAAGAAATGCGATGTTTTTTTAGTCAAATGGTGAAAAACAACCCTGGACTGGATTTTCATGATATACAAGGGTGTGTTGGATCTAATATTCCTTCACCAGTTGATGCAAGTAGTGCACGAGCTATGAGAGGCCAAAATCTACCACATTCTTCTGGCTCAACTCACGCCCCAAGTCTTGAAAAGGTATTTATATTTCCCAATTTCAAAAATTACCTCAATCTTAAGTTACAAAATCATGCTTTCTAACCGGGGTATACTATATATATGTTTCTTCCTAATTTTTAATTTTATTTTGAATGTGTAGGAAAATACGGGTGATGCAATTGGATATGGTGGTCACAAATCAATTTGATTCCTTAAAGTGAATGGTGAATACCTTTTGAACAATTGGGATGTTTATTTTTATTGGTTCTATAAATATGAATACGTTTGGTTTTGTAGAGGTCTTTGCTTGTGAACTCTTGAACCAACAGTGCTTTATTACTATAGACAGTACACAAACTATGTTTCTTTGTTGAAATTTATTTTAAGTATATGCATTTGAATTATTTTTATTCTATTACTTATTATCTAATTTAATGCTTGAGATATATATGTGTGTGAGAACAGAATTTGATGCAAACAAATATAGTTTTTTAACCACAAAATTGTGGCTAATATAAGTATTTGAAAAATAAATTTGTAGTGTAGACAAAATCGCTACGCTTAAAAAGGATGGCCATAGGGAATGTCAACCTAGCATTGTTGGTGATAGATGTTGCTCTAGAAGCCACACTTTGTAAGCGTAGCCTTTAACGTGACAAAGATCATGCTTCATAAGTGTAGCCTTATGTCATAAAAGCGTGGCTATATGAGAAAATATAAGTGTGGCCTTTGTACCGTATCGGCCACACTTTTAAAGCGTGGCTTCTAAGGCAACACCTACAAAGTGTGGCCAATAGTCAAAGGTTAGGTACTTTAGGCCACCCCCCAAAAAGCGTTGCCTAAAGTCGTAAAGTGTTGCCTTTGCCCAAATGCTACACTTCTTGGCATCTTAGGCCACACTTCTCAGGGGTAGTTGTAAGCCTAAAATGTTGTAGTGAGTAATCGAAATTTAGCCATTTTTCATGTAAAGATTAATTTGAACGAAAACACTGTTCAAAATCCAAAAAATATTCCAGCATAATATACTGGAGTTTCAGTATAATATATTGGTCCAACATAATATACTGGAGTTCCAGTATAATATACTGGTCCAGCATAATATGCTGGAAGTTCATCCAATCTCTAGTATATTATGCTGGAACTTTCCGTGTGTTGGAGTTCCAGCATAATATGCTCGAAGTTCGTACACAAGTGCATCAATCTTGAGTATATTATGCTGAAACTTTCCGTGTTGCCGCCAAATAGTGGATGTTTCTCAATGACTTTGCAAACGATGGCTATTTTCAATTACCAGTCCGAAAACTGGCTAGCCCATGCTATTTCCAATCGATTTAAAGGGATGTGCCGTTCTACACTTAGCTTGTTTCTAACTTTTTTTTTTTTTTT